CTCTATATTTTTACAGTTGCGCTTATAATTTCAAAAACAATGGTTCTTTCCAATTTCCCCCTTCTTCCTAACTCCTATATAAACGCCCTACACTTAAACTGATCAGGAGTCACACTTGATCAACATCTACAATTTTTTCTCATGGACATTTTCTTGTTCACGATCAAAATACGATTTACTCGCTTCCATTTCTAGATATCGATAATTGACGTCAATGACAATGCTCCTCAGTTTAACCAACCGGAGTATACTTTTCACATTGCCGAGAATCAGCCTCGTTCTACGCAAATCGGTCAGATTACGGCAACGGACTTGGACAGCGAAATCCACGGTCCGATCACTTATTTTCTGTCCACTGATCGAGACGCACTTGCATTTCGTCTGGACCGAGAGACCGGAGTGTTACGTAGTCGTCAGCCCTTGGACAGAGAGGAGCAGGCTCGTTACGTGTTTCGGGTGTTGGCGCGCGACGGCAGTCCCAGTACTGCAAGCGTAACAGGGACACGTTCTGCTGAGAGATCGGTTCCCGTGGGCACGGTACAACTAACCGGAACCGCCACGGTCACAGTTATGGTAGACGATGTGAACGACAACTGGCCAGTGTTTATCAGTCCAAACGCCACCGCAAACACATTGGCAATTGCAATAGATGAAACACTGGGACACAAATTGGCATATATTCAAGCAGAAGATGCTGATCAAGATGAGAATGGGTTGATCAGTTATCACATTCGATCAGGAAACACCCAACGTCTCTTTGGTTTGGATTCAGCAACCGGTTTGCTATATTTGGCCGGTAACTTGGGTCAACCATCCACAGGAACCCCACAAGAAGCCAGCACAGAAAGAAATGATACCATCGATACCCCAGAATGGCCAACACACTTGTACAAACCAAGTTTTCACGTGCTGACTTTGGAAGCATGTGATCATGGACGAACTCCTAAACCACATTGTACACTGTTTAGTAACCTGAAAATCATCATCAAGGATCAGAAAGAGGAAGGATTTGACGCAAGCACGAGGCGCGCTCAGGTTGCATCCCTGCTAGATACGTCCGCGTCTAAAGATAGCTCTGCGGGAACGTTGTCGATGGGATTCGATGGAAGAATCAATCGTCCGGAGGCGTTACCCTACGGCGATCATGCCAGTTTGGCAAACAGCCAGCATGTCAGACACCCCAGACACAACGCCAGCGAAATTGTCATTATTTGTTTGTCGATTGTGTTCACCGTGGTTCTGATGGCAACTCTGCTCCTTATTTGTTTGCTGCGAAAACGTTCGACACATTATTTGAATCAGAAGAAGATATTGACAGGTGCGTATAACAGTTATCGCATTGCCGTTCTCNGTATGGTTGTTTTTAGACAGATGAATGTGTAAAGTTAATTTGCTGTAAGTTGAGTTCAACAGGGTGCCCATAACGCAGGAAAGGAGGTTACGGCACCTGAAAATATACGGCATGATTTTAACAGACGACTTCCGAGTAGATAAGATGATCAAACATACCATCGGCACCCACAATTTCACAATTTCTAGTGGGAATTGTTCGACGGAATTTATAGCAATTCTTCGTCACCCGAGGTTGTTCGTAATAAGCCATG